TTTTAGTAGCTTAATGTATAGTAAAGGATTGGAGTTGTTTACATTTGTTTCTGTGGTGTTTTGTAATATCTGAGCTACAGGACAGCCTTTTAAAAATGTGTTCACTAGATGCCATATGGCTTTAATTGGGTCTAACAAGGTCCTCCTGAAGCTTTGTTGGGTCCATATACTAGTTCTCTGATACATTTCTTTGTGGCTTTGCAATGTTGTGTTGCACTATGCAGGGGATGTGTGTATGTATGTAATGGGTGTGGGAGGACATGGTGACGACCAGAAGCACCAAATACTATAAAACAACAAGTGTTCAGAATGCAGTCTTTTTTGAGTGGCCCTTGAGAACTCCATGGATGGTGCTGGTGTCCTGTGGATACTGGTGCTGCTTTCCATCCTCACCTCAGACTAACTGGCAGACATTACAAATCTCGCTTAGTTTAGGATATTGGCAGTATGCCTAAACCTAAATTTGCAGATCTCTCACAATAGTTTTTTTAAATAATTCTTAAGACAATCCTCAAAGCATTTCCTCTTGAAAAGCTGAATTTATAGTTAGAAGCTTGTGAAGTCCTACATTCTTGTCATTAAACTGAGACTGTTGAGCTGTATGTATTGCTGGTGTATAATGAGAGGAAAATCGTAGTTTCGCAGTAGTCTGTTCACTGCACTATTTTCTGAGATCACCTGGATGTATTGTAATGGAAGCAAGCAAGAGTTTAGAGTGCCACAGCAACACATCTTAGTAAGATGTGGTTCGACATCATTGATATGTCCTACGTCTTTCTGTAGCCCCTTATTTTCCCTTTACTCTTTTTTTTTTTTTTTGAGATGGAGTCTTGCCCTGTTGCCAGGCTGGACTGCAGTGAATGACCTTGGCTCCCTGCAACCTCTGTCTCCTGGGTTACAGCGATTCTCCTGCCTCAGCCTCCCGAGTAGCTGGGACTACAGGTACGCACCACCATGCCCAGCTAATTTTTGTATTTTTAGTAGAGATGAGGTTTCACCGTGTTAGCCAGGATGGTCTTGATCTCTTGACCTCGTGATCTGCCCGCCTTGGCCTCCCAAAGTGCTGGGATTACAGGTGTGAGCCACTGTGCGTGGCCTCCTCTTTTATTAACAGGAGCTTTCTCTGCCCCATTCCCCTCATTTATAAATGGAAGTTTGATGTGGCTGGGAATCAAATCATGGAAGGTGTCCTTCCAACTTAAGATTTTGATATTCTTTGTGTAAAAACTGTTGAATTCTGACTCTTGCTTGGGTCTTTCCAATTCCTGAGACCACTGCTTTGCTTATTACCTCTGTAATTCTTTCATGGAGCTGGACATTTCTTCTTTTGCTCACTATACTCAGGGCCCAGCACTAAGGCTTGCCTCTCTCCTACTCTAGGCAGTAGCGGCCCAATTACAGAGCTTCAGAGAGGAGCTGGGCGGGTCCCAGTGCTCTGCTGTGCCATATGCATGAGCAGTGCTTCTTTGTGTAGTCTTCAGTTGACTGTAGAAGATGACTGGATAAGATCATTGGGAAGTACTGGGTAAGTCACATAGAACAAGGATTTGATTTAAACTGACTAGCTTAAATGTCACTCCTGAGATTCCCCAATAGGTTACAGCATTTAGTTTCTGCTAATCCATAGCAAAACATAGTACGTTAACTGAGTGCCAAAAAATTGTGATCTTGCTTCTGCTCTAGACTCAGTGAAAGACCATGGAGAGCAGACACTTAGAATGTGAGAGGATGGAAACAAATTACAGTTGGGAAGATTAATCAGTGTAAAAACAATGAAAGGGATTTAGGATTTTCAAGGATTAAAATGTGTAGCCAGGTGCAGTGGCCCTCACCTGTAATCCCAGCACTTTGGGAGGCCTAGGTGGGAGGATTGCTTGAAGCCAGGGGTTTGAGACCTGCCTGGGCAATATAGCAAGACCGTGTCTGTATATTAAAAAAAAAGTGTATTTTATACACATGTTGTAGAAAGAATGTTTAGTTTTAGATTGATTTCCCTTACAGGAATGCCCCACCAGTTCCAAAAAATATTTCCCAACCACTTTCTTCTTTTCCTCTTGGCCAGTCAATTCATCTCAATACAAGGTCTAAGTGTCCACAGCTCATCTCTTTCAGCTGCGTGGAAACAGCCAGTGCATGGAAACAGAAGGGAGCCTCTGTGTCTCTTAGGCATTGTGTTTGATAAATGGACAACTTTAACTTACTTGTTGCCCAGCCTTCCAGTTTGTCTCTTACCAAACCAAAAGTGCTGCCTTCTATTAGAGTCCAAATATTAGGCTGAAACACTTATATCAGCAGCAACTTAGGAGCCTAGGACAGCTTTTGACGGTATAATTAGTAACCAGCCAGCTTGCCCTCTAGGATAAAGGAAAAGCAGAGACTCGTGTGAAAGTGCTCTTAGGCAATGAGCTCTGCCTCCAGGATAATTAAGCTGCCACTTGTATCTGCAAGGCTGACTTACCGAGCTTCACCTGTGACCAACCTGCATCCTTTCACCAATTCAAAACACATAAAATGAGCCACCAGTGTTTTACAAAGTTGAATAAAGCATTAAGAGATTAGTCTGCCCTAGGGCACTGGAAGGGGCAGGTCCTGAAAGGACATGGTGTGCTCCTGGGCCGGTTCGAACTGAGGCTGTGCTGTTTGGAAACTGCTGTGTTTGTTGTGTGAAGCACAATCTGTGTACTTGCTTTCCTTGGTCCTGGACCTTTGCTGCCGAAGCTGTGGAGTTGTCCTGGTCTGCCCACTCCAGCCTCCTTGACCGATGCTGACAATGGCAACTCCCCTACGGCTCACAGCCCTGCAGTCACCTTAACCTTCTTGTAGACCCCGAGGAGTAGTCTCATGTTCTCATTCTGCCTCCTCCCATTCCTCTTCAGATTCAGTTTAGAAGAGGTCTTTTTGAGGTGGAAAACCTGACATTGATTTTCTGCTGCTGCTTTCTCAATTATTTCATTTTATTGGGTTTTGGTTGGTTTGAGTCTATTCTTGGGCAAGTCACTTCCATATATTGATACTCTTAGAAAAACATCCTTTTATTTCAATCTTAATACTTTTGTTTGGATTTTATTTCATAGTTTTCTAGGAGGGCTGAGCTAAAACATGTCCTGAACACCTGCTGGGTGCCAAGCAGTGTGCTCTGAGCTTCACTCTCTTGACCCGTGCACAAGATACCTGCACTAGCTTGCCAGATGAGAACTTCCAGAAGGCAGTTGATGTTCAGTTTTATGGGGTTTGCTGCTGTGTTTGTTACCATGCGAGTGAAGACCTCTCATCCTCTTAAATTTTGGAAAGATAGAACTGAGTGTGAGTTCGATCTTGAATGTATCTGAATATTAGTTAATTCAGCAAGGACTGAATGTTAGGCTACAGAATGTAGTAACGAAGAGAATCTAGGGAACTGATGGAAGAGAAAGGATATTCCACTGTTCCTGGAAAGCTGATTTTACATTTAACCAAAGTATAGTACCATTTTATCATGCTGACGGGAGGAAGATCTGGAAGAACTTTTCTCTGGCTGGTAGAGCTGTCCACTAAGGCTGCGTTTTTAAATCCCTGTTCATTGTGCACAAATCAAATAGGTCTTTGTTGTGTTTCAGCTTCCCCGAGTCAGCCTGGAGGGAAAATGCTAGCCTTTCTCTGGCTCAAAGTTGCCAAACAGCAAAAAAACAAACAAAAAAAAACAACGAACATAACATTTTAGAGTCTATATAGCATGACTCCCCTCTCCCTCCTTTTTGCCCTTTCCCATTTCAAAATGTCACAATTATTAAAGGTTACGTATTTGGAAGGAACACGTGCTTGCCCGTGTGACAAAACAACCATTTTGGGGTCACCATGAGACTTATGTGCCCTTGGTTTCTATGTTCATACACAGACCAGTGGGGAAATTATTTAAACATGTTGGCTGTAAACTAGTGTTATGTCATGGATCTGGATATATCTGTGCATGGTTATAAAAATCAGCATGCCTGCTGATTTGGAGTCTGGAAGGAGTTTCTGCTGCTGTTGTACGCAGATGCTGGAGTATCTGGGAGCTATCCTTTGAATGCGGAGGTGTGTCTGAGGACAAAGGACGGAATATAGGAATATGGGAGGATTTAGGCCATGTGGTCATTGTTCACGGGGCCACTAGTTTTGTTCACTAAAGGAGTGGGTTCTTAGCTGCGTTGGAGACTATAGCACACCCATACCAGTACTGTTTCTCATGCAGTGGCTTTCCCACACAGCTCAGGTTGCTGGTCTCACTTCAAAGTGCACTCAAAGTGGGGACATTGACAAAGATGCAGGTTCTGGGTCCTGTGACCAGAAATTCTGACTCCTTTGGTCCGAAATGAAGCTTCATCGGCCTTTGTAACTAGCTCTGCCCATGGCCATGGCCCACACATTGAGAAACTTTGGCCAGCCTATTACCATTCAGTTGTGTGTTTTGAGCTGTCTTTTATTACTAAGTGAAAATTGGGTGAGATTGTTGAAGAGGGACGATTGCCACAGGGGTTTCCTGTGTTCCTAATCTCCTGAAACTTGTGGACCTTGTGGTTACATCCTGCCCTACAAGTTTTCTTTTACCTGTTTATTCAGGATGTCGCACAGCATTATTTATTAATATTTGAAAGGTCTACCCCTGGAGAAAGGAGGGTGGATATATTTTTGTTAAGTGGAAGGAACCAAACTTCAACTCCTGTAGCTCTCTGTGCTTGGATCTTGTAATAGGCTGCTCTTATAAGCAGTGCCCCATGTCCTTCTAATGGGGAAGCCTCACCTGCCCTTGTCAGGAAAGAAGGGGCAAGGGCCCAGGAACCCTCAAGTCTGAGAGGTTGATATTCTGGTTCTCTCATCGTGTGACTTATACTAGTGACCCCTATCTTCTTGGGGACAAGTCGGGAAGCCATTCTCTTGAAGCAGGTTTTCAGACAACTATGAACTGATCACGAGGTGACAGGATTTTAGGATGTGCATTTGTCAATTCCCAGTTATTATCCAGGCATGTATGTGTATGTATGTGTGTGCGTGTGTGTGTGCATGTGTGTGCGTGTGTGTGCGTTTAAGTAATGGGACTCCTAGAATCATTGGCTAATCATCAAACCTTACGTTAATCAATATTTATACTCTCTTCTGTTAGATAGATTTCTTTTAACAGAATAGCTTTAAAAGGTACCCGCATCTGACGTTTTGAATTTCACCTCCTGTCTCTTTTCCTCATGCCCCACTTGGCTTTCTTCAGAAGCTGCAAGGGAGCGGTGAAAGGGTTAAGTGAGCAGCAGCAGGAGGACGAAGCAAAGTTCTGCCGGATTATAAATGGTCTGATCTATTCCTTGCCATCACCTGACCTCCCCCAGGCATGACTGTGGGATATTGACCCTAGGACCCCTACCTCCACCCACCTTGGGGGTCTAGAAGAATGTGATGATGAGAGAGTGATGCCTGCAAAGCAGCAGCTTCATGTGTCTGACTGCCCACTGCATCATCTCAGCTGCCTCTGGATAGGATTCTGGCAGCTCCTGGCCAGACTATTCTGTTGCATTGAGCAAAAAGAAGGGAGATGTGTTACTGGGCAGAGTGAGCTCCAGACATGCAGGGACTGTCCTATAACACGGAACTCAGCCGAGCGTGGAGATAGAGTAAGGGTGGTGGGCTTTTGGGCACTGGAAAGAGTACAGGGCCTTCAGCTGTTCACTTCTCACCTCACACAGTGGCTATTTTATTTGCTGCGGATCCTCGCCAGTGTTAATCAGACCTGAGCCTACCAGTCTCCAGCTGCCAAATTATGGCTCCCGATGGTCACTGGCAATTGACTTATCTGATCTTTCTTATGCCAGGTCTGCTACTTATTATTGAATCCCAGACCAAGGGTCTTGAACAAGAGGAGAGAGAGGACTTCTGAATTTTCCTGGGGTCTCTTGCTCTTAAATCCAGACCTGATCATGAGTGAGGGAAGAGGGCAATGTGAAGAGGACCTCCCTAAAGGCCAAGTGGCTTTCTGGCAGCCAGGTGCACAGCTAGCACTTTCGATACTGAGCCAGTCTCCAGCCAATAACCTGTCAAAAGCCAGCTTGAAGGCAGGCTTTTCTGAGGTTGAGAGTTCTAAGTGACCCAATGCCCACAGAAGGAGAGGGTTTCTGGCCCTGATGTCACCACTCCAGTTTGGTTTTGGAGGACCAAAAAGGAGATGATTGCTTTTATGCTCCTGGGAGCCTGGATGGATCTCGGCTGATTACCAAGCAATCTGCATTACTTGCGCATAACTAGAAGCTGCTCCAGGCCAGAGCCACTTCCATTTTTACCTCCCTCTCTCCCTTCCCCGTGGACAGCAAAGGGAAGACGTATCTCGGGTTGCAAAGTGGGAGGCAAGGGGCTAACATAGCTATGTTCTAATACCGTGGGCTCTCTTCGAGACCAGGAGGCTGCTTCTGGCACCTACTATGTTTCTAGCACCAGGTGCTTGGTGATTTAGGTCACCCCTGAACCCTATCTAAGCATGAGGGGCAGGCTGGTACAGGGGAAAGAGCACTGGGAAGGGAGTTAGCCTACTTTTTCCAGCTCTGCAGCTAACTTATTGAGTCAAATCAGTTTGGATTTAACAAAGCTGATTTCTTTCCTGCAGGAATTCCAAAAGCCTTTGACATATATTATATACAATGCATCTCCAAAAAAGAAATACAAACAGTAGTTCCTAAACATATTTGACCATGGGGCCCGTTTTGAAATTGAGTAACCTACCAACACCTTTCTGTACAGAGTTTGTGAGATGCCAAACTAGAAGTGACTGCCATTGCACTTCAGATCCTACGTCATTCATCTGTTGCTTCTCTCTGGTTCCCAACAGATCCGTAAAAAGGAAACGGCTTTCCTGGTGGGAGGCCAGAGAGACCAAACAGTGGTGTAACAGAATGGGTACAGGATCCTAACCTGACCCTTTCCTTGGGAGGTCCCTGGCCTCTTTCTCCTCTGTGAACTCGTCTTTATTCCTAGAAGAACCTGTGATCTGCTCTCAGCTGTCCAAATAAGAATAATGCTCTGAGTATGAGTGGCATTACCAGGGCCCCTCTGTTTCTGTTGTGTTCTCAAAGACCCCACTTGTCATACAGGGTCTCATTTCTTTCTTGGCTTCAGGACCCCACTAGTGGCCCAGTGTGATGGGGGCCTTTGCCTGTCTGGTCTAAGGGCAAGTCTTGAGCATGGATGGAACTAGTGTGGGCAGGTGGCGAGTTCCCCTGGCTGGGATTTTCTCTTTTTTTGTTTGCAAAACACTGTTAAAAGATTATTGCCTCCTATATTGCTGAGGTCCGACTACAGTGTCTGCATTTGATGGAGGTAGGGCAAGGCCTAGAGGGGGCCTTTGCCCAAAGGTGAGCAAAACACTAATAAGGATGTGAAAACTAGCCACTCGCAGACATCTCACTTGGTTATCTGGCAGGGAGGCGGGGTATGTGGGTAGGCAGAGGGATGTGACGCCCGTCTCTCAGGCCTGTTTTGAGGAACCTGGAGGCTCTCAAAGGCCCACCTCTCAGTCAGACAATGCTGGAATGTCACGGTAAAGGAAAATGGGAACAAATATAATCAGTTCCTGGGTCAAAGGCATTTAGAAAGTATGTTCTCAGGCCCTCCATTCTGTTCCCATCAGGAACCAAGGCTGAGAAGGAAGATGAGGCAGGAGGGGGACGAGTGTAGCAGAGCACTCTTCCCCTCCCAGCCTGGATGGTGTTAGTCAGAGAACAGGCTGGCAAAAGACTTCCTCAGGTTGCGGATGGTTTCGGCCTTGGCCTCGTCTTCACTTGGGGTCCCACGCTGGGAGGTGTCGGATGTGCTGAGGCTGTTAGTCAGGGACTGAGATTTGCTGAAACAGAAAGGCAAGGGGGTTGAGGAAGACAAGGCATAGACTATCAAATGGGTCTTGGGGGCTTGCCTGTGAGCCAGATGGGCTACCCCAATCATCATAAGGTTATTAAGGTCAGAAACCAGGCATTCCAATGCTTAACATGATGTTAGGTACATTACACACATAATTTGCAAGGTGGTTTGTTCCTCATTTCTTAGGTTCAGGAATAGGGGTTCACAGAGTCAATTGACTTGCTCAGGTCCTCACAGCAAGTAATGGGGGAGCACCCAGAGGTCACATTCTTTCCATTATGCCAGGTTGTTGAGGCAGCAGGCATTGCTGGAGTAGTAGCTTGGCTGCTCTCCTGCCTGTGGGTACAAACCCACTTTGTAAACTGCAATGTGCTGTATCAACATCAGGTTATAGTTATTTCCAGCACTAGTTTAGGTATCAGGAGGCCTGTGTTCTAGAACCTTCTCTGCTCTTTGATGTCTGTGGCCTTGGGCAAGGAACTTACCTTCTCAGGGCTTCCTTTATCTCATCTGTAGAGCGAAGGGTTCGTCCTGCTGACCCTCAGGCCTCCTCCAGCTCTGACATTCTGGACTTCAATCCCCATCTCCTCTCCAATGTCTTTATGGCCAGTTCTGCCCCCCACCCCCTTTTGGAATTCTTTTAGTGCCAACTTTTTGAATGGCAGGTGCCATTCTGAGTGCTTCCCAAATGCCAGCCTGTAGCAACTGCTTGTTGAGCACTTCCCCCGTGCTAGGGGACAGGGGTGTAAGATGAATATGATTCAGGCCCTGCCTCAGGAGGCTCACAGTCATAGGAGGGGAGGCAACAGACATAGGAAGAGATGATGTAAATGTGTCAAAAGTTTAAGAGCTCTGCATGTGATGCGGTCATCACATTAAAAACGGGACTTTAAAGCAGGGACTGTCTTTTACTCCTTCTTACCCCTCGGAAAGTCTTATCTAGAACAAGGCACAGAGTAGGTATTTGGTGAATACCCGCTGACTTGAATTGAGCCAAATTCTTCAAAGCAGTAAGTCAGGAAATTTACGTGTTTTTAGCTAGAACACTGTAAGGTCAGTGACCAAACCTGGTTTAAGGCCCAGAGCCCTTGTCTGTCCTGTGATTAGCTGGACTGACCTTCTTATGTGGTGACAGGCTGTACACAGATAAGCCTCTATGGTGCCAGCAGCATTGTAAGCACCAACTGTACAGAAACTCGTTGCAATCCTTATAATAACCCCATGGGGTTATTGTCCCCATTCTGCACGTGAGGAAATTGAAGCACAGCGAGGTTAGGCAACTTATGTGAGGGCGTATCTTTTTTTTTGTTTTTTGTTTTTTGTTTTTTTGAGACGGAGTCTCGCTCTGTCGCCCGGGCTGGAGTGCAGTGGCCGGATCTCAGCTCACTGCAAGCTCCGCCTCCCAAGTAGCTGGGACCACAGGCGCCCGCCACCTCGCCCGGCTAGTTTTTTGTATTTTTTAGTAGAGACAGGGTTTCACCGTGTTAGCCAGGATGGTCTCTATCTCCTGACCTCGTGATTCGCCTCTCGGCCTCCCAAAGTGCTGGGACTACAGGCTTGAGCCACCGCGCCCGGCCAGTCGTGTAGTTAAGTGGTAGAACTAGGATTTGAACCCAGACAGTCTGACTCTAGAGTCTGTGCTGTCAGCTGCTATTCCATATTGCCAGGAGGGCCATTTGCTAGTGTCTGTCAAACTAAAAATACATTTATCCTTTGATCCAACAATACCGTGTCAGGTTATTTTCTCTAGAGTGAGTCTTGCAACTATGAAAGTATATGTTAAGATTTATTAATTGCAGCATTATTTGTAAGATCAAACCAAGTTTCTATTTGTGGTGGATTAGTTAGATAAATTATAGTACAACTGTACAGTGGAATACTATATGGCCATAAAAAATAAAATTCCAAGGAACTGGGTGCTCCAGGATTTATTATTAAACATGAAAAGCAGTGAGCAGAATGGTGTGGAGAGTGAATACTCCTGTGTGTGTAAGAAAATGAGGGCAAGGAGCTGAACATTTTTATTATTTATGCAAATATTTTTTATTTGCATAAGGAAGCACTGAAAGGACACATAGGAACTAACAAAAGTCATTTCTGGGGAACAGGGCAGCAAAGCATTGGATGAGAATCGGGCAGCAATGAGGCTTTTCAACATACATCTTTGATATCTTTTATTTATTTACTTATTTTTTGAGATGGAGTCTCACTTTGTTACCCAGGCTGGAGTGCAGTGGCACAATCTCAGCTCACTGCAACCTTCACCTCCCAGGTTCAAGCGATTCTCCTAGCTCAGCCTCCCAAGTAGCTGGGACAACAGGCGTGCACCACCACACCCAGCTAATTTTTGTATTTTCAGTAGAGATGGTGTTTCACCATGTTGGCCAGGCTGGTCTCGAACCCCGGACCTCAGGTGATCCACCCACCTTGGCCTCCCAAAGTGTTGGGATTACAGGCGTGAGCCACCGCACCTGGCCTGATATCTTTTAGATCTTTGAACCATGTGAATATATTACCTATACAAAAAAATAGTTGTTAACATGATCCCTGGACTGGATGTCCTGGGTTTAATCCCAGCTGTTTTAGTTATTAACTGGAACCTTTGGAAAGTTATTTAATCTTTCTTTGCTACTTATCTGTACAATGGGGATAAGAAATAGTTATTAACTCCTAAGCTTGTGAGAACTTAAAAAAACCCAAGTAAGTAAAGTGCTTGGCACATAGTGGACAATAGCTGTTAGCTGTGAACTGTGATGATCAACATTTGGCCTTGAAGGAAGGTAGAGCTTTCCAAAGAACAGTTACTTGGGACCTCTCTTTAGGACCTCAAACCAAGAGATGGGCCTGAGGGGAAACAGGATGTATATGCGTATTGTGATGGATGGCTCACAAAAATGACTGCAATGATTCCTCTTGTCCCTGTAGCCTGCCCTTTTGAGATGTGACTTCATGGCTCCTCCCACCAAGAGTTTATTTCCTACCTCTTGAATGTCGGTTTGGCCCTGTGACTTGCTTTGACTAAAAGCATGTGATAGAATAACACTTCATAACTCCCAAGGCTAGGCCTCAAGAGGCCTTGCAACTTGCACTCTCTCCCTTTTTAAAAGCAGTTCTACCATGTGAGAGAGCTTGGCTTAGCGTTGGGGAGGATGAGACCCCATGGAGAGAGAGAGGCCCCAGCTGACAGCCAGCACCAGCAACCAGATGTGTGTGTGAGGCCTTCCTGGACCATTCAGCCTCAGTGAAGCTGCCACATGACTGCAGTTGTATGAGTGATCCCAGGAAAGTAGGGTTGCCAGATTTAGCAAATACAAATAGGAAGATAAACGTGCATTTCAGATGAAAAGCTAAGACTTTTCTTTAGTGTAAGTATATTCCATGCAATGTTTGGGGCATACTTACACTCACAATCATGTTTTTTTTCTGAAATGTAAATCTAACTGAGTATCCTGTGTTTTATCCTGTAACGCTATAGGAGACACCAGCAGAAGAACCTCCCAACTGAGGTATACTCGGAACAGACAGCTGAACCAAAAAATTACGAACAAAGAAAATGATTGTTTTCTTCAGCCACTAAGTTTTGGGGTGGTTTGTTATGCGGCAAAAAATAACTGATATGTGTATACATGGAGGGTCACGGTGGTGTCTAATCTATACTCTCACCTTCTTGGGCCTCCCCAGCAAATTCCATCCTCTAGTCTTGTTTTTACCTATTTGAAGTCTAGGCAAGGCCTCGTTGGGTCTTCTTTTGTCTCCAAGTCCCTAACCCTGAATCAGCCAAGCCCTGCCTACACCCCAGCTCGATCCTATACCTTTTCCAATTCCCAAAGCACTTACTTGAGATGCGGATGGGGTGGTGCTGGCTTCTTGGACTCTTCACTCTGCTGGGAGGTGCTACGGCCCTGCACAGGGGGCCGGGGCTGTGAGGTGAGGGTGGCACCTGGCTTGGAGGCCTGGTTTGGGGAGCTGCCACTGGATGCCCGGGATAGCTGTGGAGAGCCTGGTGACCTTTGCTGCTGTGGAGATCCGGACTGGGGGCTCAGGGGCTGCTGGCCTTGTGGGGAGAGCCTCTGCTGGGAGGGGCTTCCAGATCTCTGGGGCTGAGGAGACTGAGCTTGGCGAGGGCCTCCTAAAGGGCCAGAAAAAAAAAGGTTCAGTTCAATTTTTTTTCTTAGGATAGATATGGCTGTACATAAGTAATGTTGCTTCAAGGAGGTTCATTACAGTGTTTCTTGTAACGGTGAAAAATTGAAAGCCATATAAATACCTAAGCATAAGGAAGTAATTAGGAACATTAAGATACATCTGTATAATGGAATATGCTGTGGTCATCACATAGGATGTGGCTGACTAATATTAAATGACATAGGATACTGTTGATAACATATGCTAAATATTATGCTGCTGAACAAAATAGCTTAGAATACAGTACATCTGGTTTTATTTTGGCACATATGTAAAAACATATATAAAAAGGACTGGAAGATTGTACACTAAAACCAGTGTGTCTCAGACTTTAATGTGCATATGAATCACTGGGGATCTGGTCAAAATCAAGATTGCGATAGAGTGGGTCTCAGGCTGTGTTATGGACTGAATTGTGTTCGCCCTGTCCCAATTCATATGTCGAAGCCTTAACCCTAACCCTCAATGCAATTCTATTTGGAGATAGGATCTTTAAAGAGGTAATTAAAGTTAAATGAGGTGATAGGGTGGGGCCCTAATCTGATAGGCCTGGTGTCCTTATAAGAGGAGAAAGAAATATCAGGAGTGTCATGTACACACGCAGGCACAGAGGAACAGACACAGGAGGATACACAAAGAAGGCTGCCATCTGCAGGCCAAGGAGAGAAGCTGTACCAGAAACCAACCCTGCCAGCACCTTGATCTTGTACCTGCAGCCTCCAGAACTGTGAAAAAATGTCTGTTGTTTAAGGCCCCACAGTCTATGGCATTTTGTTATTAAGGTGGCCTGAGAAAACTAATATAGGCGGGGTCTGCGATTCTGCATTTCTAATGGGTTCCCAGCTTATCCTACTTTGAGTAATGAGACACTAAATAATCATTAAAGTGGTGAGATTATGAAGGATTTTAATTTCCTTTTTTTTTCTTCTCACGGGTATTTTCCACACTGAAGATGTATTTCTTTGGAAACAATGACAAGAATTAACTCTTACTTTTTGGGTTGCTCTCTCAACTTTTCCAAGAACTTTTAAAAGCAACATATCACTCGATCTAGAGAGGTCAGTAGGGAAGATACCACTCTTCTCGCCACATAGAGGTGGAGACTGAGTCTTATTAAGGGTTCCCAATTGGAAGAGGAGCCACAGAAAGCTCAAAGAGAATCTTGGTTTCTCTCTGTCACCGCATAGGGCACACAGGCTTTCACAAGCAAGCCAAGGGGCATCTAAGCTTGGGGATGTTGTAGCCACTCAGAAATGACTTTGAGTAGAATTCCAAGGCCCCCAACAATCGAGGTGCACTCTCCTCACCCTCAAATTCTGGGTGTCAGGGCTGTTGATGGTGAATTGCACTTTGCCAAAGCCAACTGTCTGCCCACTGATCTCTTCTCCCTGCGACACGCCGCTGCTGGGAGAGTGGGGTTGGGCTGGGGTGATTCTTGCCACGTTTGTTTGAGAATACTATGGGCACGTTAGGAGACTGAAAACTAAAAGGTGCTGGAACCCACCTCTGTGACTCTGTAACAATGGGGCCTCTACTGAGCACCTATTATGTCACCAGCTTTAGGACTGGGCAGCCTCACAACAGCTCTGTGGGTGAGGCATTATTCATCCCCTACCCCCAGCCATGGGAGTGCTGTCCCTGGAACTCTAGAGACAGCCACGTGTATAATTATACATTTTCTAGTAGGCACATTTTAAAAAGTAAAAAGAAATAGGTGAACATAATTTTAATAGTGTGTGTGTATGCATATATAGGTATGTATGTATAGATATAATTTTTTATGGAAGAGATGGGGTCTCTGTCACCCAGGCTGGAGTGCAGTGGCATGGTCACACTGCAGCAGTGAACCCCTGGGCCACCCTCCTGCCTCAGTCTCTAGAGTAGCTGGGACTACAGGCCCAACACCACTTTTTCATTATTATTATTACTATTATTATTATTATTGTTGTTTTTGTAGAAATAGGGTGTCGCTGTGTTGCCCAGGCTGGTCTTGAACTGCTGGCCTCAAGCAATTCTCCCACCTTGGCCTCCCAAAGTGCTAGGATTACAGGTGTGAGCCACTGTGCTTTGCCCCGTTTTTACAGAGAAACTGAGACCCGGATATATTGTGACTTGCTTGAGATGTCACTACAAATAAGGGGACAAGTCAAGATTCAAACCTAGATCTCTTTGACTCAAACGCCCTGTCTTGTTTCTTTTTCCTTTATGAAAACTACACCACGCAGGCTCCCCTGAGTCCTCATAACATCTTTTTTACTAATTAAGAAAAGGCGGCTTCCTTCAGCGGAAGCAGTTCTGAGCCAGATGCCAACGGGGCAAGGACTAGATTTCAGCCAGCCTCCCCTATCAGATGCCATGTCAGCTGAGCACATTTTCAGAGGACATGCCACCTGTGTAACCTCCATGACCTGTGGAGTCTGGTGGCCCTGACTCCACACTGGCACCAGGAGCCTCAGGTCCTGACTTAAGCCTTGCCATTAACTCGCTGTGTGACCGTGGGTAAGTCACTCCCCTTCTCTGGGCTTCTGGGCCCTTGTTTGTAAAATAAGGCCATTGGACTGTACATCAAACATCCCTCCTGATCTGAACATTTTTGTGAGGTTGCGGAACACTAAATTGGATTAAACTGTGGTACCAGTTTAGCATCTGATTGTATTACATGGCTTTGATTCATTACCTCTTTCATGATTATATATCCCAGTAGATGGGCGGTCACATTTATTTCAAACACCTCTAGGGCCAACCAGGTACGTAACTAAATAAAGCAGGCAAATATATGAAAAGTAATGTGGCTTTCAAAAATTTTCCCACTTGAGATAAAAACATTCCAGAGAACTATTTCTCTAAACAGGTGCAAGCATACAGAACATAGCAATTACCCCTCACTGTCACTATAGAAGTGAGGAGTAGGGCTGGAGGCAAACACAGGAGCCCCTAGGAGCCCTTGCTCTGATCAAGGGAGCCACTATTAGTAACGCCAGTAACGCTGTTAGTAACCGCTGTTAGTAACGCTTGTGTTGCTGTATAGAAACACAGGCCCATTGTTTCTAGAGCTTCTGTGCTATCAAGAGATGCTGGAAATCTAGATGTTTAAGTAACACCTCCTGATTTTTTTTTTTTTTTTTTTGAGACGGAGTCTCGCACTATTACCCGGGCTGGAGTGCAGTGGTGCGATCTCGGCTCACTGCAACCTCTGCCTCCCAGGTTCAAGAGATTCTCCTGCCTCAGCCTCCCGAGTAGCTGGGATTACAGGTGCCTGCCACCATGCCTAGGTAATTTTTTGTATTTTTAGTAGAGACAGGGTTTCACCATGTTGGCCAGACTAGTCTTGAACTCCTGACCTTGTGATTCACACCCCCCTCAGCCTCCCAAAGTGCTGGCATTACAGGTGTGAGTCACTGCGCCCAGCTCACCTCCTGATTTTTAAATGTTGGTTACTTTTGGGTTTTCTAAACCCACCGCAGTTCAAAGAAAATATTTGTTTTCTACTTTTATCTTCAGTTTTCCCTGACTTGCCCCCCCTTCCCAGGTTGATATCTTAGAAAATCTGGATACCCGTTCATTAATTTAGTAACTCTTGTTGAGTCCCTATCATACACCTGGGATTTATCAAGAGACACCGTAGTTACTGGATTCAGAGACCAGAGTGGTAACCATTACCACTGCCCTAGTTATTTCTTTCAGCTTCTTGGCAAAGCAAACAATTTAATATTTTTTATATGAGCACATACATACACAAAATATTGACTTATATATAGAAAGTATTTGCCTAAGCACAGAAATGAAGCTTATTAAAAGAAAATTTCACTTTTACTGAGTTGAAATGAGCAGCAAGTTCAAAATAATAATGTGATTTGTTAATTGGGGAACTCAATGAAAGTGTTGTTTTTAATTAGCCTTGTTATTTTTAATCTGAGCGTTAATTCACTGGGCATTTTCTTTAATTACCTTAATTGGTTTTAAATTGATTGTTTTTCAACTCACTAAAAGTGTGTTTAGCCTCATTTCCCTTAAAATAATATCTCTTTATCAAGCATGTTTTACTCTGGGCCAGAGAGGAAATCAGAATACAGTAGCTCTCTGTTTTAAAATGGCTCTGTTCAAATGTGCTTTTAAAAAGTAGGTCCCAGGGCAGAGGGGAAAGGAGGGTGTGGGGCAGAGGCACAGCCAGAAGCCTGGTAGAGAGAGGAATATGTAGTTTTGGAACACTTATTACTACAGAATTATTGCTGGATAAGGGGGCACTGTGTTAGTTATAAGGATTGTTAATAATAACCAAGAAAAGCAATATGGATAAGACACACATTATTAATAGCAAGCATTATGTCATAGTTATTAATAGTAAATTATTAGTAGTAAGAACTAACACCTTCTAAGCACTATCTCTATGTCTGATACTTTGCTAATTGCTTCACCTGCATTTACATGGAAGCTGTTATTTCCTCCTCTACACTGAGGAAACTGAGGCCCTGAGAAGTAATGTGACTTGCCTAACGCTGCAAGGACAGTGAAACATGGAACTGGATTCAAACACACTAGATCTGCCTGAAGGAGAATACTAACGTGTATTTATACAGGTATACCTTGTTTTATTGTGGTCCATTTTATTTCAGTTTGCAGATGCTATGTTTTTTCTAAACTGGAGGGTTGTGGCGACCTTGCATTGAGCAAGTCTGTCAATGCCATCCTTCCAACAGCATGTACTCACCTGGTGTCTCTGCATCACATTTGGCAATTGTCACAAATTTCAAACTTTTACATTATTATTATATCTGTTATGGTGATCTGTAATCAGTGATCTTTGATACTACGATTGTATTCGTAATTGTTTTGGGGTGCCATGAACCACACCCATATAAGACAGTGAACTGGTTGGGCGTGGTGGCTCGCGCCTGTAATCCCAGCTGTTTGGGAGGCCAAGGCAGGTGGATCATGAGGTCAGGAGATGGAGACCATCCTGGCCAAGATGGTGAAACCCCGTCTCTACTAAAAATACAAAAAAATTAGCTGGGTGTGGTGGTGCGCACCTGTAGTCCCAGCTACCTGGGAGGCTAAGGCAGGAGAATCTCTTGAGCCCAGGAGGCAGAGGTTGCAGTGAGCCGAGATTGCACAATTGTACTCCAGCCTGGGCAAAAGAGCGAGACTCCATCTCAAAAAAAAGAAAGAAAGAAAAAAAAAAAAGACAGTGAACTTACTTGATAAATGTGTGTGTTCTGGCTGCCCCATTTACCAGCCGTTTCTTGTCTCTCTTCCTGTCCTTGGGCCTCCCTTTCCCCTAGACACAACAATATTGAATTTTGACCAATGAATAACCCAAAAATGGCCTCTAAATATTCAAGTGAAAGGGAAAGTCACTCATCTCTTACTTTGAAATAAAAAACTAGAAATGATTAAGCTTAGTGAAGAGGGCATGTTGAAAGCCAAGACAAGCTGAAAACTAGGCCTCTTGCACCAAAAGGTTAGCTAAGTTGTGAATGTGAAGGAAACATTCTTGAAGGAAATTAAAAGTGCCACTGCAGTGAACACATAAATGATAAGAAATCAAAACAGCCTCATTGCTGGTATGGAAAAATTTGAGTGGTCTGGAAAGAAGATCAAACCAGACACAACACTGCCTTCAGCCAAAGCCTAATTCAGAGCAAGGCCCTAACAACTTTCAGTCCTATGAAGGCTGAGAGAGGTGAGAAAGCTAAAGAAGAAAAGTTGGAAGCTAGCAGAGGTTGGTTGGCCAGGTCTAAGGAAAGAAGCTGACTCCATAACAAAAACTGCAAGGTGAAGCTGCGAGTGCCGATGAAGAAGCTGTGGCAAGTTATCAAGAAGATCTAGCTTAGATCATTGATGAAGGTGGCTGTGCTAAACAGATTTTCAGTGCAGATGGAACAGCCTTCTATTGGAAGAAGATACTATTTAGGGCTTTCATAGCTAAAGAGGAGAAGTCAATGTCTGGCTTCAAAGCTGCAAAGGATAGGCTGACTCTCTTGTTCGGGCTAGTGCAGCCAGTGACTTAAAGTGGAAGCCAGTGCTCATTAACCGTTCTGGAAATCCTAGGGCCCTTAAGAAGGATGCTAAATCTACTCTGCCTGTGCTCTGTAGATGGAAAAACAAAGCCTGGATAACAGCATAGTATTTACAACATGGTTTACTGAATATTTTAAGCCTACTGTTGAGACCTACTGTGCAGAAAAAAGATCCTTTTCAAAATATTACTGCTCATTGATAACGCATCTGTCCACACAACAGTTCTGATGGAGAAGTACAAGATAATTTTGTTTTCATGTATTTTAATACAACATCCATTCTGCAATTCATGGATCAAGGAGTAATTTAGAATTTGAGGTCTTATTACTTAAAAAATACATTTTGGCTGGACGCAGTGGCTCATACTTGTATGCCTGTAATCCCAGCACTTTGGGAGGCCAAGGTGGGTGGATCACGAGGTCAGGAGTTCAAGACCAGCCTGGCCAACACGGTGAAACTCCATCTCTACCAAAAATACAAAAATTAGCTGGGCAAGGTGGCTGTAATCCCAGCTGCTTGAGAGGCTGAGGCAGGAGAACTGTTCGAACCAGGACCTGGGAGGTGGAGCTTGCAGTGAGCTGAGATTGCACCACTGAACTCCAGCTTGGGCTACAGAGTGAGACTCTGTCTCAAAAAACAAAACAAAACAAAACAAAAACAAGATTTCATAAAGCTATAATGGCCATAGACAGTGATTCCTCTGATGGATCTTGACAAAGGAAACTGAAAACCTTCTGGAAAGGATTTACCTTTCTAGATGCCATTAATAATATTTGGGATTCTTGGGGGAGATCAAAATAGCAACATCAACAGGAGTTTGGAAGTTGATTCCCGTCCTTATGGATAACTTTGAGGGGTTCAAGACTTCAGTGGAGGAAGTAAGTGAAGATGTGGTGGACATAGCAAGATAACTAAAATGAGAAGTGAAGCCTGAAGACGTGACCGAATCACTGCAGCCTCATGATAAAACTTGAATGGATGAGGAGCTGCTGCTTATGGATAAGCAAATAAAATGATTTCTTGAGATGTAATCTATTCCTGGTAAAGATGCTATGACGATTGTTGAAAAGACAACAAAGGATTTAGAATATGACATAAACTTAGTTGATAAAGCAGCAGCAGGTTTTGAGAGGACTGACTCCAAGCTTGAAAGAAGTTCTATTATGGGTAAAATGCTATCAAACAGCATCACGTACTGAAGAGAAATCTTGTGTGAAAGGGCAAGTCAATTCATGCAGCTAACTTCACTGTTGCCTTATTTTACAAAATTGCCTCAGTCACCCCTTGCTTCAACAACCTGTACCCTGATCAGTAAGCAGCCATCAGTACTGAGGCAAGACTCCATCAGAAAAACGTTACTATTCACCTAGGGCTCAGACGATTGTTAGTAATAAAGTGTTTTATAATTAAGCTATGTACTTTGTTTTTTTTCAGAGATAATGCTGTTGTACACTTAAGAGACTACAGTATAGTGTAAACATAGCTTTTATATGCACTAAAAAATTTGTGTGACTCACTTTATTGTGATACTTACTTTATACTGGGGTGGTCTTGAACTGAACCTGCAATATCTCTGAGGTATGTCTGTACACAGTTGTGTACAATTGTACAATTTCTCTTTTCTTAAAAATACCTTCTGCTTTTCCAGAAAGAGAAACACAGATGAAAAAAATGAATGGGGCATTTTATCTAAGACCTGTGGAAGAGAAAGCCATTCGGTGGCCAAGGTTGACTTTTTTCCAGGAAGTAATGAATCTGTTGCTTTTAATCGTAGTGACTGGGAAGGTCACAACATGACAGTAATACTTTCTTTCTGATATATATATATCTTCCTTTCTGATATATATTTCTTTCTTTCTGATATATAAAATATATGTGTGTGTATATATATATATATATTTTTTTTTGAGATGGAGTCTCCCTGTATCACCCAGGCTGAAGTGCAGTGGTGCAATCTCGGCTCACTGCAACCTCCGCTTCCTGGGTTCAAGCGATTCTCCTGCCTCAGCCTCCCGAGTAGCTGGGATTACAGGTGCACACCGCCACACCCGGCTATTTTTTTTTTTTTTTTTTTTTGTATTTTTAGTAGAGATGGGGTTTCACCATATTGGCCAGGCTGGTCTCGAACTCCTAACCTCGTGATTCGCCCACCTCAGCTTCCCAAAGTGCTGTGATTATAGGCATGAGCCACCGCGCCCAGCCTCTGATATGTTTTTAAGAAGATCCTTAAAAGACTGCAGCGAAACTGCCTGCTTTGGTTTCTTGGTGCACAGGTGCTCTGAAGCTCCTGCCTGGTGCCTGAGTGAGTGTGTTCAGGAGGTTTTGATTGCAAGAGAGGATATGGGGCGGATTTGTCTCCAGACCCGCATGCAAGAATACCAGAGCAGCTGAGATTCTTTGAGAAAGTTAGCTATTGCCATGATTGCCATGATTGCTTTTCATCTTTTCATCAATAGTTTGTCCATTCTCTAATAAGTGGTGGAAGGCAGTAATGCTGCAATATATTCGAGGAAGAATTTCAATGGCCAAGGTTTTATAGATGATGTTCCATTTTTCTTTCTTTCTTACTCTAGCTGGTTGACTCACAAATCTATCATCAGGCACCACACATTGCTATGAATAAACACTTTCTAGAAGGTCTGAAAGGCCAGACTTGTAAATCTACTACTTTCTACCTCCTTGGGCAAAGCCTCAACATTTACCTCGCTGTAAAAAGGCTCATGCCTGTAATCCCAGCACTTTGGGAGGCCAAGGTGGGCGGATCACCTGAGGTCAGGAATTTGAGACCAGTCTGGCCAACATGGTGAAGCCCGATCTCTACTAATAATACAAAAATTAGCCAGGCGTGGTGGTGTGCACCTGTAATCCCAACTACTTAGGAGGCTGAGGCAGGAGAATCACTTGAACCTGGGAGGTGGAGGTTGCAGTGAGCCGAGATCACGCCACTGCACTCCAGCCTGGGCAACAGAGCAAGACTCTGTCTCAAAAGGAAAAAAAAAAAAGGAAATACTGACGTTTATTTTCCCAGCGATGGCTGGGAAAATAGGTGGGACATTCCCTGGCACAGTGCTTGGTGCATATTAGGTTCTTCATAAATTAACCGTCTATTTCCCTTCTCCTTCCTAGACTTTCTAAAGAGGTTGACCAACCCCATAGTGTGATTCATTCTGTGGATAAAGCATTCAGATGCATTTTCCCGGAGCCCCTTGTGGGAATCACGTGTGGATCCTCAGTGCATTTCAGCACCCTCACTGCATGCTTTCTCACAGTGGCGCGTCCGGGGTCGTACCTTGTGGAGGTGGGCGTGGCTGGGGCTGTCCTAGCTGAGGCCCCAGCTGGGCTTGCCCTGGGGATTTCGCTGATTTAATCTGTGGCGCCTAGAGCAGAAGAGAAAAGAAGCCTGTTGGTATCACCACAGCCCTTTACTTCCTGGGTGAGAGGGCAACATTTATGAAGATCTTTTTATCATTGAGAAGAGACTCGTACACATAAAGTGTACAGTTCTGGAGTGTACCGTGCAGTGAAGTTCTCTATGTGTACACATCGGTGTAACCGCTGTCCAGATCAAAACACAGGCCATTTCCCACGATGAACCTACCTCATACCCCTTCCCAGACAGCAGTCCCCCAGTATAGTCACTATGATTCTGATGTCTGTTATCATAGATTACTTTCCATGGGGAAATCTGGGGTGGGAGGTGGAAGTTTGGGGACTTGCTTTTACATAAAGCTGAGGAGCTGGCAAATTCTTTGGACAGCAGTCTGGTCATCCATGGTGGGAACTGTGGAGGGGAGGAGCGACGTGAGAGCTCATCGAGGTTGGGGGAAATGGGAGACACAATAGCATCCATTGACCGGTTCCCTGGGAGCACACAGAGGGTTTGTGTGTCCATATGCTCTCGCACACGCACGCACACACATCCTGCTCAGGCCCAGCACCGAGGGCACAGAAGGGACAGCAGTCAGTCATCTCTCCCCACAGTGCCCAAAGGCCAATTGAGACAAGATTGTTCTCCCCAGGATGGTGAAGAAGGGAGGGGGCCCCCAAAAGCCTCCTAAATTCACCCACTGGGGCAGGCTGTGGACGCTCTCCCTGATGTCTGGCCTTCACCCACACCCCCATTCCTTCTCCCCAAGGTGGTTTCTTCCTGGGGGTATCTCCTTTGGATCCAGGGGCTCCCCATTTCCAGACAGCCTGGCATTTCTCATGGTTATAAAGTCTGCTTTGATCATGAGGGTCTTACCCAGGGTCTCAGGGGCGAGGGTGCTGTGCCTCCTGGCATCAGGAGCTGGCTCATTTTGGAGACAACAAGGTCGGCCATCAGCTGTTTGTCCTCTTCTACATGCTCTCCAATCAGCGGCATTGAGCTGTCCATTACCTGTGGGGAGGACGGGAGAGCTGAGGGACCCCCATGCCAGGAGAGACTGGCCGTTGGGCATCACACCCCAGAAGTGGGGACCCAGGGCTCAGGACAGAAGTGACCACCAGATGGCGATGTCCTCCATGCAAACCACCTCCAGCTGGGCCTGGCCGGCAGAGACACCAGCTCGCTTCGGTTCAGTCTCAACCACTCCCTGGATGTAGTTCAATTCGGCCCACGTTTGCTGGATGACAGCAATGTGACAAGGGCCAGGGAGCCTCTGCCGACCTTTTCTGTGCTTTTCTTTGGGGAGCCGCTCTCCATCCCCTCCTTTCTTACCCTGGCCCCCTCCCAGGGTCGGGGCTGGCCACCTCTCCTTTGGCCCCAGCTCAAGGCTTTCCACAAAGTAGAAACAGTAAAGGTGGGGGGCTTGATCATGACAAAAATATGACATAGAGTTGACCCAGGGTTCAGAGGAAAGAGGAAAGAGGAAAGGTCTGTTTTCCGGGGCCCTGGCAAAACACAGGTGGGAGGGAAACGCGTTCCACAGGGAGCTGGGCTTTTCTCAAAGTGCTTCTATGGGGAGGAGCCTGAGGGATCCTAGTTTCCCCTTCTGCTCTTTTTACAAATAGAGCAACTGAGGCCCAGAGATGGGAGGGGACTTGCCCAAGGTCACAAAGGCCAATGCTCCACGTGATTCTCTGGGCATGGGAAGCTATGGGAGGTCTGGAAGGGGTGTCTGTCAGGCCTTGTCACCCTCTCTATTCCACTGCAGGAGTTGGCGGCCTGCATTCACCCACACCACCCCATCAGACTCACCGTCTTGTCTCCCTTGTTCCCACGGTCTGGACTCATTAGATTTTCTCTCTCCTCCATTTTTTTTTTTTTTTTTTTTTTTGAGATGGAGTCTCGCTCTGTCGCCCAGGCTGGAGTGCAGTGGTGGGATCTCAGCTCACTGCAAGCTCCGCCTCCCAGGTTCATGCCATTCTCCTGCCTCAGCCTCCCGAGTAGCTGGGACTACAGGCGCCCGCCACCTCGCCCACTAGTTTTTTGTATTTTTTTTTAGTAGAGACGGGGTTTCACCATGTTAGCCAGGATGGTCTCGATCTCCTGACCTCGTGATCCACCCGTCTCGGCCTCCCAAAGTGCTGGGATTACAGGCTTGAGCCACCGCGCCCGGCCTCCTCCAGGTTCTTAAGTATTCCCTCTACCCACTCCTTACCTGGCCAACTCCATTTCATCCAACAGGGAACCGCTAACTAGGTCTTCCTCGAGGAAGCCATCTCTGATGGTGCAAGCTCTGACGAGCCACCTCGCATCTGTATCCTGCCGTCCTCACCTGGTTTCACACTGGACAGCTTATCCACAGCACTGTCACCCCCTGCTCACTATGTCTCCACCACCAGACTGGGAGCCCCCAAGGTTAGGGATGGACCCTGTGTCCTGCTAAACAGGTGTGCCCTCCACAGACACCTGTTTAGTGGAGGAATAAGAGGCCCTTGCAATAAGCCCGGCTCATAAGGATAAGGATAATGAGAAGCGCCGTAATTTATTGGGCACTTCACTTCGTATGTGCTATGCACTATTCTAAGCATCGGGTGTGGAGGATCTCTCATAAACCTCAGAATAGCTTTTGAGGCAGGTACTATTATCCTCATTGTAATGATGAGGAAGCAGAGGGTCAAAGAAGTGGCAAGGTCAAGGACACAGCACTGGCAACCCATGGTCCTCCCACTGCATCAGGCTAATTCCCAGCAAGCATTGGAACAGCACAACAGGGTAGGAACTGGGAAGAGGGAACGTGGGTTCCAGGCTTGGCTTCTGTGGTGGACTTGCTCTGTGATCTTGGTCAAAGTTTCTTTTCCTCTATGGGTGTTTTTTGTTTTTCTCAACAGTGAACTGAGGGATCTGGGCAGCTGCTAAGACCCTTCCAGCTGGGACTTGTAGGGATCTGTGAGTTTAGCACCCACTTTGATTAGGAAACAGAAAAGCTAGCTTAAGAATGTGAATACTGCTTCCAGCAGGGTCCTGAGCTCTGCGCAAGTTGTACCTGGAACTGAGGTCTCCTGGATCCCAGTGCTCCGGGCAGGGACAGTCACTCAGTCACCACTGGCTGAGCTCTGACGGTGGAGTCTGCCCCGAAGGTACACAGGCGTCCTGCACCCTGCCTGTCCTCTCTCCCCCTGCCCCTGCCCACCCCATTTTATTCTGGTCTCTGTTTCCTACATTCCCTGCAGTGGAAAACAGCCACCACAAGGAACCTGAGGTTCATTTTGGAATCCCCACGGTAGACACAGCCAAAGGAAGTGGCCGCTCTGGTCTCCCCAGGGAAACATTTTCCAGTGGGCAATGTCATTCCCCGGACAAGGTCACAGAGGACAAGTTCAAGGGTCTTTTTCCCCGAGTATTTGACTGTGAGCCTCTTCACAACACATTTCACACACATTTTCAGTTCTCACCGTAGAGGTGGCTGAAGAAACCAGTGTTTTGGGACCTCTTCTGCCTTTTTTTTCCCCTTACTCGGGGAAAACACCTTTTATATTTTTGGTAACAAGTTTCCCATCTCCCCTGACCCCACTCCAAACTCAAAAGCAAAGGAAACAACTCTGGAATGTTTCTGCGAGGAAAAAAAAAATCTGAAAAGCTATCTTTCATTTTCCCTCTGGAACATTCCTGGGAGACATTGTTTTCTTGTTTTTTTGAAGTCCAAGCCCACTACTTTTACTTTTTTTTTTTTTTTCTATGTGAAAGGCCTTTCATCCCCAACCCTCTGAATGGCTGAAGGCAGGAAGCCTGGGCCCACGAGCACGGATTCTTTTTTTTTTTTTTTCCCTAAGAGTGAAAGCTGAGACCCGGGGAGGCAGGGGCTCACGGGGGACAGAGAGACTGCTGGTGCAAGGGAGGAGCTGGCCTTTGGGGGTCAGGGGAGTCCAGGGTCTCTAGGAGACAGGGCCCCTGTTCTCGTGTTTGCGGTTGCACTGTGTCCACCTGGCTTGGGGGCTGGCTCCCGGAGCAGCGGCTCAGTGAATAAATAAATGTGTGCTTGTGTGCCAAATCTGGGTTCATGTCTGGTGGTCCCCGTGAGGGGATGTGGAGACAGGAGGACCTGGTGGGGTCTGAGGAGCTGCTGTGCTGGGGGTTCTTGCCCCACCTCTGGGCTGAAGCTCCCAGGAAGGTGGAGGATGAGCTCCTCCAGGGAGCAACTGTACAGGTCAAGGCATCTGTTCCCAGCCTCTTCCACGGCTCCTCCAAGTAGGGGCTACTTGGGGAATTTCAGGTTTGGTGGCAGCCAGAGGGAAGGTGTTTGCGGGCCTTGAGAGGAGAGCTGTTCTCAGAGTGGGACTGGGTCTGCCAATACAGACACAGCTCTTCCTGCTGGAGCTTCCTGGCCTCTTTGGGGAGGAGAGCGGGGCCATGTTCATCCTGGACTCCCTCCTCCTACCTCCAAGTCCTGGGCGTGAACACCCTCCTGGCATGACTGGGCTCCCACCCACTGAGTCACCTGGTCCTGCTCGGCCGTGGGCTCCTGGGGAGTGAGGCAGACATGAGGGATGGGAGGGCCGGCTGGCTCCTGTGGTCACCCCAGCCATGTGCTTCCCATTAGCCGCCCACACCCCGGGGAGGGGACAGCCGCAGGGCTGTCCCTCACGTGTCCTGGCCTTGTGTCAGCACCGCCTGTGGAAAGAGGGGGCTGAACGTGGCACTGGAGCTGTGAGTGTGGAGATGGGAAGTTATGGAGGACTCTGAGGCCAGAGGGGCCTTTTCAGGGGAAAGCAGTGGAGAGCCACGGGGCATGGGGTGGGGGGCAGGGAAGAGGAGTTGGGGAGGGGACGGGAGGGCTGTGGGACCATGAGAGACACCGGGAAGACATGGAGGAGAGGTGGGGGTTGGTGGGATACGGTAAGCATGGAGAGGAAGTGGCGGGGCTGGGAGGGCTGTAGGATGGGGAGAGGCACGGGCTGCTGGAGGGTCTTGAGAGAGATTCTGGAACCCACAGCCCTCTGTGAACCCCCTCTTACCACTCTGCTTCCCTCCATCTTCCCCTCTATTCATGCCCCTGTACCATTCCATTCCCCTTCCAAATCCTCAATGCTCTGCCACTGTTTCTCACCCTCTCCCCTGCCAGCCTGCACACCCATGTCTATCAGGTCCATGGCTGTATCCCCAGAGCCACACCCATGCTTAGCCCATGGGAGCCCCCTAAGGCCATGTTCGTTGAATGAACAAATGAGGGACTGTCTGCATGATAACCAAGGAAGGGTGCCCAGTTTACATGCTTGGACACTGAGGAAATGGCAGGGGCCCTATGGGACAGTAGCTTGCTGACCCTTGGCCAGATGCCCTTTCCCTTTCCTTAGGCCTATGGGTCAGGGAGGTTGTTAAACCTCGTGCCCTGAGGTCTCTCAACTGAGTTCCGAGTCCCCAGGCATGAAGCCTTTCGATGCCTCTGAGGGTGGGAAGGAGCCTCCAGAAGCAGCTCACTGAGGCCTGGGCTGCGTGTGCCCTGGAGCCAGGACACAGCTGATGGTGCCAAAGATCATGCAGGGATTCCCTCCCCCTGGCACGCCTGCCAGGCTGGACCGGCCAGGAGGACTGCCTGCTTCATCCCTCACCTCGATGATGTAATCTCTGCCATCCTTGCTGTGGACGGCCTTGACGGCACAGATGTCCAGGCCACCAAACATTTCCGAGCAGCTGTCCACCCACAGCCTGTACCTGCAGGGACAGATGGACAGACAGTGAAGTGGCCTGGGAAAGTGGGGAAGAGGGTGGAGGAGAGAAGTGGATTCACATGGAAAAACAGACAGGGACAGACAGTGATACACACATCCAGACAGAGATGGAGAGGGACAGAGAAGCAGCAAGAGAGACAGAAAGATGGAGAGCGTCAGAGTCCAAGATGCAGAGACAGGCAGGCAGAGAGGCAGGGACACAAATGACAGTGGGACAGAGACCCAGAGAAAGGACAGGAGAGAGCCAGGAAGGAGGGGAGAGAGGCAGGGTGGGGGAGAGAAGGAACCAGAGTTGGGACAGGTCTCCCCCAACCCCAGTACTTGCTGGCTCTACAGTCATGGGGAGCCTACCCTGCCCCCATCCGGAGTCATCCTGGACACCCAGCTACCCCTGTGTCCCTTTTCCCTTGGGAAAGCTGCTCCAAGGGCTCCAGAAATCCCTCCAGGCCGCCCTTCCAGTCCCAGCCCTGGCCGGACAAGAGGCTGTGGAGGACAAAGGGTGCATTTTTCCCGGGCCCAGGGCGGGTGGGCTGGGGAGACTGGCAGGCTGCTTCTGCCTCGCCCAGGGGGCCTGGCCCTCTAGACCCACTGCTTTTGTTCCCCTTCCAGCCACTTGATGTCTGCAAGGCCAGTTTGCTTTGCTGGGGACAGATCTCAGCGCTGGACTTTGACCCTGCAACAAGGAGGTGGTTGTATGTGAAGAAACCGTCCCGGCTTGCACTTAGTTTCCCCTGTGGGCTGGATTTGGGAGTCACAGGGGACTCTGTGTCACTGTTCTTGCTTCTCACTCTCCAGGGTCACGCAGGGCATGCCTACTCTCACATCGCTTTGCGTGTCTGAGCCATAAGTGCTGGGATGAGGAGGGACTGAGACGGGAATGCTCTTAGAACGGATTCTCATCTCATCCACCAAAGCCTACTGAGGCCCAGAGAGGGAGGCCGGCTGGTCCAGCTCACACAGTAAGGCAGTAAGAACACCAGGATCACCTCGATCTCCTTGACTCTCGGTCCAGTTTTCTCATTCAGCTGTAGCATGGAGCACGTGATACCATCAAAGTAAAAGGAAGGATGGAAACTCACACCCATGGAGCTCCTGCTATGTTCCAGACATTCTGGGCCTGGGGGCTGACTCCTCATCCCCTCGGATCCCAGCACAACTCTATGAGGAAGATTTTAACCCGTCTTACTAATGGAGGAAAAGGCTCAGAGAGATGATTAAGTGACTGTGCAGCTTCCAAACCTAGATCCTGTCTGATTCCAGATTCCAAGCGAGCCACTCTTCCTCTCATTCTGAAGGTGCCCCAGAACATCCATTCTCACTCAGCATGGGAGACCAGGGACCTACCTTCTTGCTGTTAATTCCTTAATACTTTTGGCGAAGCCTCTCCCTCTTATCATAAAATGGGAAAGCCTAGATCTGATTCTGGTTGTGCCTCAGAATCACCAGGAGAGTTAAATGCACAAACAGCCAGACTTGGGGCTCCGCCCTATGTTAGGGTAATTTCTGTAATTTTTGAAAGCTTTCCATGCGATTCTGCTATGTGGCCACTTGGGTCCTTGGAGCTTGAAGAGTCCTCTGGAATCTCTGATCAGGGTCCTCGTTTTCGGCCCCAGTGGCCCCAGTGGCTGACTTGTGGGCGCCACACACTTAGGGTGAGCTGTGCCCTGAGACACACTCATAAATCAGGTGTCTTCTCAATGGAACATGGAAATCTGAGCCGAGGTCCAGAGGCAGCTGTTTCCAGAGGCTGTTTTGAAAGGATGAACCTTGGGGTCCCCTGCTGGCTGCACCCCATAGGACACAGGCAACCCAGGGTCTAGGAAGGGGCTCCAGGCGTACAGCAGCATGAGAGTGCTTGGAAAATGGGGGGCCCTGCTCTCCTCCTGCCAGGTGGGACTAGCACCAACTGAGTGACATCACTGGTTTTGCCCAGGAGTCAGGCCACCTGGCAAGCAGGCAAGCCAGGTGGAGGGCGGGGTCAGGCCCTGTGTATGAGTCCCTGTATGGATTTTGTTCCTGTGGGGAATCTCTCCAGCTCAGACCCTGAAGTACCGCCTGTGACTAGAAAAGGGAAAGTGGATTCCAGGCCTGGGCAGGCCCACTCCCATGGTAGGTTCCTCCAGGGATGGCCCATGCAACCTGGGACTTGGCAGAGCCAGGGATAGGTGGCGTGCTGGGGACATCTGTGAGTGGCTCAGGAGGCACTGGGGAAGGCTGCGCTCACGTTCGGGAAGGGCCATAGAGTAGACGGCCACGATTGTCCCGTGAACACCTGTTGGGGGAAGGATGTGACTGCCTCAGCCACATGATTCAGTTATGCCAGGTCACAAGCGCAGCCTCCAGGAGACTTATTAGCACAGGTGGGTTCCCAGGTTGAAGGTGGCAGCTGCCCCCTGGGGTTGATGGGAAGGGCAGGTGCGCCTCCCTGCCAGGGGCTGGTTCTGGATTAGGTGCTTCACAGCCCTCTCTCATTCAGTCCTCACACCTGCACTCTGACTTGGGTATTACTGCTTTCATTTTGCAGTTGAAGAAGCTCAGAAATGTTCCTGAACATGCCCAAGGTCACACTCAGTCTTTATTGCTGTAGGGGGTGGTCCCACTCCAGTCTCCAGGGGTGCAGACCTGACATAGGCCTCCAATCACAGCGTTGCAGTGTCTTGGGCCATAGTGATTGGTTCAGGGATGGTCACGTGACCTAAGCCAGGCCAATCAGTACATATGGCTCAATTTCAGGCTTTGGTTGAAATGATTGGGAAAGAGAAATTTTCTTTCTTTTGAACGCACTGTGAGGATGAAAGCCTGGAGCCACTGTATGCCACCATAAAATGAAAGAGCCTCCTGGATGAAGCCAACACAGAAAGAAGCTGAACTACGGTGGGCAGAGGAGCCTCAAGGCCTTACCTGACACTGTATATCTGGAGTCGTCAGTGACATGGGCCAGTAAATCCCCCTTTTTGTGCAAATCAATTTGATTTGTGTGGTAGCCCTTGCAACTGATACAGAGTTCTTAGAGGGAAGGATTGGATTTTTTCATCCTTTAGTGCTCAGCAGAACATGGCGTGCAGTAGGTACTCAGTAAGTGTTTATTGAACAGAGCTTTTGAGCTCACAGCCCACGCTCTGTCCACTGCTATTGTGTGGCTGCTGGCAGAGGTCACAGGGCATGCAGGCAAGAAGGTATGTATGTGGCAGGCCCTGAGACCAGCTGACTCGGCCCTTCGGCCCTTCCTTTTTTTTGAGACAGAGTTTTACTCTTCTTGCCCAGGCTGGAGTTCAATGGCATGATCATGATCTCAGCTTACTGCAACCTCTGCCTCCCGGGTTCCAGTGATTCTCCTGCCTCAGCCTCCCAAGTAGCTGGGATTACAGGCATGTGCCACCACGCTCAGCTAATTTTGTATTTTTAGTAGAGATGGAGTTTCACCATGTTGGCCAGGCTTGTCTTGAACTCCTGACCTCAGGTGATCTGCCTGCCTCGCCCTCCCAAAATGCTGGGATTACAGGTGTGAGCCACCGCGCCCGGCCGGCCTTTCCTTAAGCGGGGCTGGCACAAAGTGTCTAAAGGGAGAAAGACCGAAAAAAACCTTCAGCCAGAAAGCATCCCTAAAATATGCACGATTCAAGGGACATCAACCTCTCCCTGTTCATACTGAGATGGAAAGAAGCTTGAGAGAGAAGTGGACTCTCCAATATGCCTGGTCTCCTAATAACGCTTCCTTGCAGCTGTCAGCGCACAGGAGGGCTTGGCCAGGGCTTCCTGACCTCTTCCTACGGCAGCTGGTCAGGGCTGGAAAGACCCTGGACTTGGAGTCATGACAGCAGGGTTCTACTCTCAGCTGTGTCATTAATTAGCTCTGTGGTCCTAGACAAATCACTTCCCCTCTCTGAGCTTTCTTCTCCCCTCTGTAAAATGGGGTTATTTTAATGCCTGCCCTGTAAGCTGTTGTGGGCAGTGAAGATGATCATACCTAGAAAAGTGCTCTGTGGATGGTGAGGCACTGGATGGAGGGCAGAGTGGCCTTCTTTTCAGGGCTGTTTGTTGCATTCCCCCTTCAGCTCCTATCATGGCCAGCACCTCTCCCTACACCTCCTTTGTCTCTTACCTCTCTGTCATGGCCACCTGCTCCAGCATGGCAGAGCCTGTGTTGGCCTTCCAGTTCCCAGAGATGGAGGTTCTCCTGTACCAGAACAAATAACACATTGAGGGAATTAGGGATGCTCGTCACTGATCTGCTTTCCTTCTTTGCTTTGGCTGTCAGGAGGCTCTGACTCAAATGACTGGCTCACGTAATGGCATGTATTCTTAGGTACATACTTTATCTTCAACTATATTTTCCTATGTTTATTTCCCTTCATGCTGTTTGCCTTTTTTATTTGTTGGATCTTAGGTATTGTTTTCTAAGTCATCTTTGAAATTGAAAGATTGAATTCAAAAATGCCTATATCATCTGATGAAATCCCCCAAACTTTGGTGTGTTTTTGAGGAGAATGAGGGCAGTGTGTGTAGCCCCTGATGATTCTGGAATCTTTTGAGGGCCCCAAAATGTTAGAAAAGTGATCCTTAGAGAGAAGTGACTACTTTTTTCTGGTAAAGATTAGGAAGGCCTTCTGGTCTCTGACTGTGTTGCCATCCTTCTCTGTTTCCTTGCCTCTTCTGCTCCAGTAACAACCGACCTCTCCTCCGGTGCTCCGCTGCCCATGGCTCTTTCCCAGTGTCACAGCCTCTGCATGCCTTCTTCCCTTTACTCCATAGAGTCTTTGTCTCCATCTTCGCCTCCCTAAGTCCTGCTCATCCTTCAGGTTTCATCTGACATACGACTTCCTGACAGCCCACCTTCCCCAGCAAAAATAGACTGCCCAGTGCTACACCCTACACGAATGCTCAGGAATGCTCATCTCCCTTCTGATGACTGCGTTAGTGTCCTCTCTTCTCCGATGGAGGGGAACCCTGAGGGTAGGGGACATGTTTAACTTCATCCCCTGTATATCCAGTATCCAGTGGGACCTGGCAGGCAGTAGGTGCCCAGTAGGTACCTACTGGGTGAGGAACTGTGTACACTGGGAGAGAATCCAGACAAGCTACCTATCCCTAACGGTGCATCTGGCCTCGGCAAAGACTGAACAAGTTTAAGCACAGGGGTGTAGGTAAAGCTATTTGTCTTATGGTCAACGGAAGGTATGTGGTTGAGATCAAAGGGTGAACTGGGGAGAGGAATTGACACAAAACTGTATCATTGTAAAAGAGAAAATCAAATGTAAAAATGCTGAGAATAGATGACCACCAGGAGCCATAAGGCACCGCATCATAGTTGGCAAGGTTGTTTCCCATGAGGCTACAGGTGAGCAGTTCTGAGACTGGGCGCATCTACTGAGACGGAACCAAAAAAGTGGATAGATGGTGAGTGGGGGAGCCGGATTTTTCTCTGTTGGAGTGGGAAGTTATAGACTAGCAACCAGGAAAGGCTAAAATGAACCAAGTGGTACCAGATGAAGGTCCGGGACATCCATAGGATTCTGTTCAGCCTCATAGGGATGTGGATGGGGATATGCGGAAATAATTATGGATATATATGAATACATGGGTAAGGATACACTCATGTATTTCCTTATTGTGTCTGCTAGGACCTAGAAAGAATGACAGCCCAGCAGCGACAAGCACAAAGGCGCGAGTACAAGGCAGGGAGTGGGGCCAGAGGAGGTTGAACGGCTGGGGAAATTCTACACTGAACTCTGACGTGAACCCCCTCCTTTGGAGGTGGGCCAGGCCAAGGTCCAGGAAACTCCGTAAGTCATGACAAAGTGGAGCTGTCAGGCCAGGGAAGCTCCGCAGAAAAAATGCGGCAATGAGGTAATCCTCAAGAACAACAACAAAAAAAAAAGCAGAAAAAAACTGGGACAAGGTGTCGTCAATGTCAAGTGGAAGCTGAAACAATGAAGAGAGGAGGGAAATGATATCATGACCTATGGCGGGGGCCTCAGGAATGCACTGGAATGGGCTATAACTTATGGTGGGCAGGGAGGAGGTGACTTTATCACCCCAAGGCCATCTGAGAGCAGGGGCAGGTCTGGCCTGCCTCGTGGGAGGAAGAGGTTGATTGGTGGAATAGGGCAGAGTTACTCCTTGAAAATGAGTTCCATCCCTTTCCTGCGAATACTTCCTTCTAGGGCAACTGCCTGCACCTCCTCTAGTTTCACAAGCAATGACAGGGCGCAGTAGTTGCGACAGAGACGATATGGCCCGTCAAGCCTAAAATTACCACCTGGTCCTCTACAGAAAAAGTTTGCTGACCCTTGGTCTAGGCAATCCAGGTAGTGCCAAAGCAACCACAGGCAATCCGTAAATGGGTGTGCAAGGCTGTGATCAACAGGACTGTATTTAGAGACAGGTGGCAGCTGGATTTGGCCTGTGCTTGTGGTTTGCCAACCCCTAGCTTAAAGCACAAGCTACCCACGCAGAAGCCTATGGATGGAGGGACCTTCCAGCTGTCCAGGGCTAACCCTTGCAGTCCTCACATATGGAGCCCTGCACACAGTCAGTGCCCCATAAATGCTTGTCAACCAGGCAGCGATTGGCCCTCTGGGGTCCCATCATTTCAAGTGGAACTAACAATAACATTCCAGAGTGAAACACAGAGAGGGCTTGGAGCGAAGACCTCTCCCAAGGACGAGACAGTCTACCTACTCCAGAAGTCCCCATTCATCCTCATAACCACAGCCCCATGTAATCCATCCTTTGTTGAACCACCCAGGTGAAGGCGGGCTGCTTTTTTCCGCCTGGCATTCTTTCCTTTTCCTTTAGATTCAGCACCTCTATTTCCACTAGGCAATGGCCCTGCCCACACTGCATGCCTTCATGGTGGGACTCTCCATACTGCTTTTCTCTAATCAATAAAACACAGTCAAAGTTGGACTAATCAGTACTTTTTCCATGGAATCGCAATCTTGAGTTAAGCCCTGAAAATGACTAGGGCAGGTTCATTTACCGGTGGGGATGCCGTGAAAATTGTTTATTATTATTTCTGGCTGCCCACATTCCTGGGCTGCTCTGTATCCTAATGCTTCCAAAACTGATAATTGAGTTGGGAGATTTTTTTGTTTGCTTTTTTTAAGTTTCTGATAAGCCATGGTTTTCTAATAAATTCCCTTTTAAAAACCCATTAAGTTAATGATGTGTGGTTTCTGTTGCTTGCAGGCAGAGAAATCTGGTGTAACCTCCTCATTGGTCTTATTGGCTTCAGAGAAACCGTTTGGCAGCTTGCAGCCTCATGGTCACCTTTTAATAAACACAGATCCTTTGCTCAGAAGAGGAAAAAAAATCCAAAACCCTCAGCAAGGTATTCATAGCCCTCCTTGATTTGTCCCCAAATTTCTCTCTCAAAGACATATATCCTGTGTGTATGTGCAGTTCCCTAGACGTGCCAAGCACCTTTCTTGCTCTGGAGGAAACAGCCCTTGCTTGGGTAGGCAAATATCTGCCTGGGGATAAGCAGTGACTGAGTATTAGCCCCTCGGCCGCACTGGCCAGAGAAGAAAGGCAGTAAGGAGATAGGATGGAGGATAATGATGCGCCCTTGGGTGCAGGAGACAGTGGCTGGACATGCACCTCTGGGCTCCCTTCCCACGCTCCCCCAGCCCCTGCCCCAGAGACTCACATGTAAGCCTTGTAGTTGGATCCAATCTTCTGGACGCGGATGTCGTACTTGGAGTCGATGAAGGCCTCGGTGGTGGCGTAGGTTTTGGCCATGGCGACCACGCTGGTGATGTCCTGGAAGTCAAGCTGGTTTTCCACTTTGATCTGTGTGGGAGGACGAGGGGGATGAGTGCCACCCACCCCGTGTTCACTGAGCCCACCCCATGCCAGGAACAAGTGCTCTGTCTATAGACATGAATTCCCTTCAGAAGGTCACCTGCTGGCAGGGAAGACAGACACGGGAAGCAAATCATTCCACCACACACCACACAAGCTGCAGAGAGGAAGGGAGCGATTCCGCTTGGGTGGTCGAGAAAGCTTTACAGAAGAGGTGAGCTCTGAACTGGGTTTGGAAGGATGAACACATTTCAGATGGATGAGTTTGTGGGGCCATCCTCCAGAGATGCGCGAGGAACCCACAGTGGGGGAAAGGGCAGGTGGCACAGGCTCGCTGACGGGGGATGTTGCACGGGCCATCGGGGAACAGACTGGAGGGCCACCGTCTCTGGGAAGGAGCTAGGATTTTAGCCTGAATTTTCTGGAGAGCCGCTGAAAGAGGGAGTGGAGTTTAAACAAGGAAATGGTGTAGTTTGCGTTTTAACAAAATCACTGAAGCAGTTGTGTAGAGGATGGAATGAAGGGGTGTGATATGAGACACAGAGGGTCCAGTTAGGAAGAAGGGAGTGTGCATGTGTGTGTGGTGTGTATGTGTAGGGAGCGTGTATGCTGGTGTGTGTTGTGGAGTTTGTGGGAGATGTCTGTGTGTGGTGGGTTTGCATGTGTTTGATGTATGCTACGTGTGGTATGTTCTTTGTGTGTTTATATGGGGGTGTGTGTGTGTAGTGTGTGATATATTTGTGTGTGGTGAGTTTGCTGTGTGTGCTCTGTGTTGTACATGTGGTGTGTAGTATGTGCTGCTTCTGTGTGTGTGTGGTGTGTGATGTGTGTGGTGTATTTGCTGTGTGTGGTCTGTGTTGTACATGTGGTGTGTAGTATGTGCTGTTTCTATGTGTGTGTGGTGTGTGGTGTGTGTGGTGTGTGATGTGTGTGGTGTGTGATGTGTGTGGTGTGTTTGCTGTGTGTGCTGTGTGTTGTACATGTGGTGTATAGTATGTGGTGTTTGTGTGTGTGATGTGTGTGGTGTGTGATGTGTGTGGTGTGTGATGTGTGTGGTGTGCTTGCTGTTTGTGCTGTTTGTTGTACATGTGGTGCATAGTATGTGGTGCTTGTTTGTGTGTGTGGTGTGTGATGTGTGTGGTATGTGTTGTACATGTGGTGTATAGTATGTGGTGCTTCTGTTTGTGTGTGTGTATGTGTGTGTGTGCGCACACAGCCACACACTGGAGAGGCCGGCTTTGCTAGGCCAGAGGCTGGGAGAGAAACTCACACTGTTGACTGGGCTGAGCCAGGAACACAGAGAGGTGTCCCGGGCTTGGGGAGAGGTCCCAGGAGAGCTTCTAAGGCCAAGCGCAGAGGACGAGGCCAAGGCTCCGTGATAGTGATCTGAAGACAGAACAGAGGCTGACTCCCAGCGGCTGTGGACGGCTGGGTCAGTTGCTCCCTCCCACTGGCCATGGGAGCCCTGCTTGTTCAGAAGCGGCTCCCCTCTTCCCTGTCACCCTCACCCCGACAGCAGAGGAGTTCTGATGCTGGGTCAGAGATGGGCAGAGCCCTGTGGAGTGGCTGGGCGCTGGGCGGTCTGCGTGGGGTTGGTCTCGGCCACACCCCATCTCACGTCCTTCCTATCTCCCTCTCAGCCCTTTTCTGCCTGCCCTTCGAGGCTCAGCACTGACTCGGCGACCCTGGCCCTCCCACAAGAATGCCCACTCACATTTGCCCAGCTGCGATGCTTACGCAGGGTATTTACAGCTCTCCGTGGGGTCCAAACAGGATTGTGGGCAGGCTGGGCACTGTTGTGGTCACTTAACAGGTAAGGAAACTGAGATCTCTTGACTTGCTCAAGGTTGTAAAGCAGCTGAGCCCAGAGCTAGGCTTGAAACTCTGGACTCCAAAGGCACAGCTTTTCCTTGAACCATCTCAGGGGTCTGTGCATAGGTGCCTGCCTGTTCTACCATAACGGACACAAACAGCAACAGGAGAGAGGCTGGACAAGCCGCCTCTCTTCTTGGCTCTCTGAGTGATGACTCCAAGTCTCAATTTGCAGAGAAAATAAACATGACCAGGCAAGAGTTCCCTATTTTCCAGCCCTTTTCAAACTCAGCTACCCCACCTTCTTCCTCCCGGCTGCAGCGGTGGTGGTGTGCCTCCTCCCTTTGTTCTGGGTCTTCTAAGCCCTTGGTTTTAGCTGGGTACCTGGCCTCCTCAGCCAGAGATTACTTTGCTGCAGTCTCTCGTGCAGGTAGATGTGCCCGAGTCTCCAAGCTCTGGCCAATGAAAACTGGGTAGCCGTGATATGAGCAACTTCTGGGTGGTGCCCTGAAGATGAAGATAATCTTCCCCGTCCTTTTTCCTTCTTTGCTCTGGCTGGGAATGTGAACGTGATGGTATGAGCAGCAGCAGCCATCTTGGGCCATGAGGTGGAAGCTGCATGTTGAGGATGGCTGAGTAGAAAGTTGGAAGGACCCGGGTCTCTAGCACTGTGAAGCTCCCTATCAGCCCTCGACTCGGACTCTTACACGGGAGAGAAAGAAACTTTAATCTTGTTTAAGCCACTGTTCTCTGGGTCTTTTTTTTTTTTTTTCTGAGACAGGGTCTCAATGTGTTACTCAAGCTGAGTGCTGTGGCGCGACCATGGCTCACTGCAGCCTTGACTTCCTGAGCTCAAGCAATTCTCCTGCCTCAGCCTGCCGAGTAGCTGGGACTACAGGCGTGCACCACCAGGCCCGGCTAATTTCTGATTATTTGTAGAAACAGGGCCTCACTATGTTGACCACGCTGGTCTCAAACTCCTGGGTTCAAGCGATCTTTCCACCTCGACCTTCCAAAGTGCTGGGATTACACACTTCAGCCACTGCGCCTGGCCCCTATTATGTGGGTCTTCGTTAAAGCAGCCAAATCACATTTCTGCTCATTATTTTTAGTCTCTTGCTTTTCGCCGATTCTTTATGCTTTGGCTTAACGTGATCAAGAATCCACCATTCTCCTCAACACGTTCCTGCTTTTCAGAACCTCAGTTAGTCTCCACTGTCTCTCTCTACATCTTCATTCCCCACTTGCCCTTCAACCCACTTTCTCTAGGTTTCACTCCCTACCATTCCCCTGCGACTGATTTGGTCCCCTCTTTGGCAAATCCCGTAGAATGCCTCTGGTCCTTGCCCTGCGTTGACCCTCTGTAGCACCTGAAATTGGTGAACTTTGGGTAATACGATTTCCATACCACTGTTTTCCCAGTTCTCACCCTTCCTTTCTGGCAACTTCGTCACAGTCTCTGTTGCCACCTCTTTCTCCAATGCCCCTCTGATGGTCCTGGGGTTTCATCTCTGCCAGAATCCAGGGTCAGGTGGAGAGAATTGGAATTGCCAAAATGACAGAATCGGGTGAGCGTTTGCAGGGACGGCTTGTTTAATTCACATTTCTGTCCTTGGTGGCTTTGGGAAGAACCAGAACTTCTTTAGCACCTTGGTTTCCTAGACAGCCCTGAGCACAGAGCAGGCTACCTCGGAGGTGTCTAGCTGCCCACAGCATCATTTTCTTGCTTTACAGTCATGATACACCCTGATATGGGGGGCATGTGTCCACCCAGGGTACACTTTACTCTCTCTCCTTTCCCTGGCATCTTCATACTACTGTGTGGCCACATTTTGGCCAACAAGATGTTAGCAGAAGAGGTGTACGATCTTCCAGGCTGTGCCCTTAAAGGGCAGGGGAGGGCTTTCTACTCCCCACTTCTCTCTTCTTGCTGGCTTGAGTGTGGACCATCTTTGACAGTGTAGCTGAGGGCAATACACCAGGGATGGATGATCAATAAGATGGAAGAAGCCCATGGCCATGAAACCATGGTGGTTCCACGCCAGCCCTGGGCTGCTTTTGTGCAGAGCAGGGAAAGAAAGTCCTAGTTTGTTTACACCATTGTAAGTCTTTGTTATGGCAGCTGAAATGTATCCCAATTGTTATATAAGCCTGAAGTAAATTTTTGTGGAATACATCATGCATTCTTTCACAGAGCAGACAAAGAGAGCAAAGGGAGAAAGCACAGAGATAGTGGTTTAATTCCGGAGTGGGCAGCCACCCTCCGGGAACCCTTCTCTTCTGTCTTCGTTTGAGCGGTTGTGCATTGGGGTCCCATTCTGTTCTCTCCAACAGTGAGCACGGAACCCAGGTCTCTCTCTCTCTCTCTGAGACAGAGTCTCACTTACTCTGTTGCCCAGGCTAGAGTGCAATGGTGCAATCTTGGCTCACTGCAACCTCGGGCTCCTGGGTTCAAGCGATTCTATTGCTTCAGCCTCCCAAGTAGCTGGGACTACAGGTGTGTGCCACCGTGCCCGGCTAATTGTTGTATTTTTAGTACAGATGGGGTTTCACCATATTGGCCAGGCTGGTCTTGAACTCCTGACCTCAAGTGATCCACCCACCTCAGTCTCCTGAAGTGTTGGGATTACAGGTGTGAGCCCAGGTGTCTTATACAAAGGCATTTCAAAGCTTCAGGAAAGGCCCTGGCCAAATGTTCCTTTTTATTTTATTTTATATTTATATTTATTTATTTTTTTTAAAGAGACGGGGTCTCACTCTGTCACCCAGGCTGGAGTGCAGTGGTGCAGTCATGACTTACTGCAGCCTTGAACTTCTGGGCTCAAGCATTCCTCCCACCTCAGCCACTTGAGTGGCTGGGACTACAGGTGCCACCACATCCAGCTGATTTTATGTTCTTTTTCGTTACGGAGGGCCTCCCACATTGTATGACACCTGGGCAATAAAAAACTGATTCTACCCCTGGAACCACCATTTCTGTCTCCCCGTTAGACTGTGAGCTTCTTGAGGACAGACGAGTGCTGTCCCCAGCTATTGCACTGGTGCCAGGCACATTGCACATGCTCTACACGAGTTTTCTGGATTGAATTTAAGAAGGCTGATTCAAGACCTGCTTATAATTTGGGAGGGGGGCAAGAAACTGGAAGGAAAAACAAGGGAGTTCTACAAAAAGACAA